GATTGGACCAGGGGAAAGAAGACTGAGTCCAGGTAGGAAGAGTTGAATTCTGTGGGGCAGGAGCAAGCTGAAACAATGGCTCTGCCTGGACAGTACTGTCTGTGGACTTTTGGGAGGAGGTAGAAGTGAGCTGTGCAGGGCTGGGGGACTATCAGCTTGGAAGCAGGGCGGGGGGAGATCAATGGATGAAATGAGATCAGTTACCATAGTGGATACAATGGCCTGATGTGCCATGGTGGGGTCATGGTCCAGGGGAAGGTAGGAGGAGGTATCTGAGAGTTGGCGCTCAGCCTCTGCAAAGTAGAGGTCAGTACGCCAGACTACAACAGCACCACCCTTATCGGTAGGCTTAATAACAAAGTCAGGGTTAGATCTGAGTGCACGAAGTGCAGTCAGTTCGGCGAGGGATAGGTTGGATTTGGTGAGGGGGCAGAGAAATTGAGGTGACTGATATCATGTCAACCGTTGATCACAAGGTCTGGTGTGTGGGGGATGGACGCTAGGACATGGGAGAGCTTAGGCCCTAAAATTACTGAACTCGATATTGAGTCCAGAGGGAGACATGATCCCCAAGCGGAAAATGAGATGTTGTTATTCCAACTTGCGCTGAGATTCGCTAGGACACTGCAGCAAGCCTGACACAGAGACGTTGGCCAGGGAACAGGGTGGTGTGTTAAAGTGGCAAGCAATTGGAAGCTTAGAGTCTTTTTTTGGGAGCAGAATGTAGATATTCCTCCACATTGGGGAAATGAAGCGTGGCCTGGGTGACTGCTTCAGAACATCTATGTTCTGCTCACAAAAAAGACTGAGCTTCCCAGTTGCCTGCCACTTTAACACACCATCCTGTTCCCTGGCCAACATCTCTGTCTCAGGCTTGTTGCAGTGTTCCAGCGAAGGTCAGTGCAAACGAAGAACAATACCTCATTTTCCGCTTGGGGACTGTGCAGCCCTCCAGACTCAATATCAAGTTCAATAATTTTAGGGCCTAAACTGTCCCATGTCCTAGCCCCGTACCCCCCACACTAGGCCTTGTTATCACATTGTTTGCCATTACAGACTACCTATTGTTAGTCATTAACAGCTATTCACCCTCCTAGCCAGATTGTTACCAAACCCTTTGTCTATTCAACTGCTCTCCTCTCTCTTTGGGCTCTATACCCACCTATTGCTTACTCCTTACCCCACCACACCCCCCCCAACTATCTTCTGCATATAAACCAACATTTCCTAACTACCATAAGTTCTGAGGAAGGATCACCAGACCCGAAACATTAACTCTGATTTTTCTTCACAGATGCTGCCAGGCCCGCTGAGCTTTTCCATGTTTTTGTTCATGGTTCATTTGAGTATGCCCTTACTTCCACATTCTTGTCTTCCTGCCATAACCATTGTAGATCAAAATTTCTATCTTATTCAGCCTTGAATGCATGCAATGGCCCAATCTCCACAGCTCTGAGTACAAAATTCCAAAGGTTAACAATCCTCTCAGAAAATATGCCTCATTTCCAACTATATGGAAGACCCTTTACTTTGAAACTGTGATCCCTAGTTTTAGATTCCCCCTTGAGAGGAAACATACTCTCCGTATCCACGCTGTCATGTCTTCTCACTGCTTATATAGAACATAGATGTATAAGAACATTCTTAAGACTGTGCCAGTCTGGCAGCATCTGTGGAGGAGAAAACAGAGTTAACGTTTCAGGTCCGGTGACCCTTTCTCAGAACTGATGGTGGCTGGGAAAACGTCAGTTTATATGCAGAAAATAGGGAGGTGGGTGGGGTAGGGAGTAAATGATAAGATAAAGCCCAAAGAGAGAGAAAGACAGTTGGACAGACAAAGGAGTTGCTAACGATCAGGCTGGGAGGGTGAATAGTTGTTAATGGGGACTGTTAGTGACTAACAACAGGGGGTGTGTAGTGGCAGGCTATGTGGTAACAAGGCCTGGTGTGTGGGGTGGGGGCATGGGACATGGGAGAGTTTAGGCCCTAAAATTATTGAACTCAACATTGAGTCCAGAGGTAGTGGATTTCACAAGCTTCAAAATCTCCGCATCCCAAAACCAGACCAGCTCATCCCCGCCTCCCTAACCTGTCCTTCCTCCCACCTCAAGCCCCACCCCCATCTCCTACCTACTAACCTCATCCCACCCCTTTGACCTGTCCATCCTCCCTGGACTGACCTATCTCCTCCCTACCTCCCCACCTACACTCATCTTTACTAGCTCCATCCCCGCCTCTTTGACCTGTCTGTTTCCTCTCCACCTATCTTCTCCTCTATCCATCTTCTATCCGCCTCCCCCTCTCTCCCTATTTATTTCAGAACCCCCTTCCCCTCCCCCATTTCTGATGAAGGGTCTAGGCCCGAAACATCAGCCTTCCTGCTCCTATGATGCTGCTTGGCCTGCTGTGTTCATCCAGCTCTATACCTTGTTATCATTGAGTCCAGAGGGCTGTAGGGTCCCCAAGTGGAAAATGAGGTGTTGTTCCTCCAGTTTGCGTTGGGCTTCACTGGAACACTGTAGCAAGCCGGAGACAGAGATGTTGGCCAGAGAGCAGGGTGGTGCATTGAAGTGGCAGTGTGGACCAGGGTGTCCCGGACGGAACAGTCCCTGCAGAAGGCAGACAAGACACCAGACACATATTCTCCTCCCCTCCCTTGTCCACCTTCCACAGGGACCGTTCCCTCCGGGACACCCTGGTCCACACTTCCTTCACCCCCAACACCTCCCCACAGCCCTACGGCACCTTCCCCTGCACCCGGCGAAGGTGCAACACCTGCCCATTTACCTCCTCCCTCCCCACTATCCAAGGGCCCAAACATACCTTCCAGGTGAAGCAACACTTCACCTGCTCTTCCAAGAATCTAGTCTACTGCATTCGCTGCTCACAACGTGGCCTTCTCTACATTGGGGAAACGAAGCGTAGACTTAGCGACCGCTTCGCAGAACATCTACATTCTGCTCGCAAAAAAGACCCTGAACTACCTGTTCCCTGCCACTTCAATGCACCACCCTGCTCTCTGGCCAACATCTCTGTCTCCGGCTTGCTACAGTGTTCCAGTGAAGCCCAACGCAAACTGGAGGAACAACACCTCATTTTCCGCTTGGGGACCCTACAGCCCTCTGGACTCAATGTTGAGTTCAATAATTTTAGGGCCTAAACTCTCCCATGTCCCAGCCCCCCAACCCCACACACCAGGCCTTGTTACCACATAGCCTGCCACTACACACCCCCTGTTGTTAGTCACTAACAGTTCCCATTAACAACCATGCACCCTCCCAGCCTGATCGTTAGCAACTCCTTTGTCTGTCCAACTGTCTTTCTCTCTCTTTGGGCTCTATCTTATCGTTTTCTCCCTACCCCACCCACCTCCCTATTTTCTGCATATAAACTGATGTTTTCCCAGCCACCATCAGTTCTGAGAAAGGGTCACCGGACCTGAAACGTTAACTGTGTTTTCTCCTCCACAGATGCTGCCAGACCTGCTGAGCTTTTCCAGCAACTTTGTTTTTGTTCCTGATTTACAGCATCCGCAGTTCTTTTGGTTTTTCTTAAGACTCTGCCATTCAATTTGATCATGGGTTATCATCTACCTCAATGCCACTTTCCTGCATTATGTCCATATTTCTTGATGCCATTTGCCTTCAAAATTTAATGCCCAATCCAATCCAAGATTTTTTTAAGCATGTGACTTTACATCAATTAAAATGTAATTCTAGGCAACATTAAGGAAACAATAACATGTTTTCTTGAATGAAAGAAGGAGAAATTTTATTGCTTACCAACAAAATAATGAAACATCAAACACACGTGGAATAAATGGGAAAGGATCTAGTACAAACAGAAGATTGAGAATATGCTGCTTGAAAAGTTCTTAAGAGTCCTCAAAAGTGTTAAGCTTTAACCTGTTCTGAGGAAGGTTCACTCGAACTGAAACGTTAACTGTAATTTTTCTCCACAGATGCTACCATGCCTGCTGAATTTCTCCAGCAATTTCTGTTTTTGACTCTGGTTCTCTACCTTACTTTTCCCTGTTCAGGTACTCTTTAAAACCTAATTCTTTTGACCAAGCTTCTGGTCAACCGATCAAATATCTCTTTATAGGATTCAGTGTTATACTTGGTTGTATATTACACTGTGAAGTGTATTTTATCTTTCTTAGAGTCACTATATTAATCTATGTTGTTTTTTCATTCTTTCATGGGATATAGGCATTGCTATCTCGGCCTGCATTTGTTGTCGATCCCTACTTGCCTCTTTAGTCCTGTGGTGTTTTTCTACGATGAAGTGGGTTGCTATTTCAGAGGCCAGTTAGAAGTCAAACACATTGCTGTGGGTCTGGAGTCACATGTAAGCCAGGTCGGTTAAGGACGGCAGCTATCCCTCACTACAGTGAATCAAATGGGTTTGAACAAAAACGAGTTGTAGCCTCACAGTACCACCAGCCTTCAGTTACAGATTTTCTTTTCATGAAATTTAAATTCCATCGGTGGCTGTGATGGGATTTGAACCCAGATCCGCCTGTATTGATCTGACGTACCGTGTTGCCCTGCCTCTCCGTGATATTACTTGGGGACCTGTGACTTATTCCTGAACGCCAACATAATGCCTAGAAACCTTATCGTGGGGCCCGTAGGCGCTATATAAATATGTTGTTGCTGTCCATTTAAACCGCCGCCTCCATCACCAACTACCAACCGTCGCGTCAGCACGCGGTACCGCCTGCACACACGTGCACTTCATGCCCTCCCTCCTTTCGCCATCGACACCGTCATCGCAAGGTCATATGGGACCCCCGTGCCCGCCAATCCACTCTCGATCTCAGCCGACGGCGAGCCCCACGTGGGCTCAAGGCACACCCATTCGTGTCCTCCACCAATCCGCCATCGATATCTTCCCACGAGCGCGCACGCTCCGTCCAATAGGATGCGGCGGTGGGCGTGGCACGGTGGCGCGTGGCGCGGGCCGGTCTGGCGCGCCGGCTGTCGGCAGTAGTTAAGCTCGGACTGCGGACAGAAAGAGAGCGTGCAGGCAGGCGGGTGAGATAGAGATAGCACCATGGCTGAGGGGGGTGAAGGAGAAGAGGAGATCCTCTTCCTTCGAACAGTAAGTGCACCCATCAATGCAATCATTTTGCACTGCGTCTGCTCGGAATGCATCTGAGGCGGCGTGCCAGCGGACGCAGAGGTGGTTTATCTATCAATGCCATTAGGTACAAAATAAACAGTATCATTGGTAGAGAGGTTTAAACATCACTTAATTTTTAGTCTGTTTGGGTGGAATAAAGGAATAAGCTTTGCGCTTGCTTGCTGTACTCTTCAGAATTATCATTGAACTTTGCAATGACTCAAATGTTGCACGATGCTTTGAACCCGAAAAAACACTGACTCATACCTCTCTATATATAATTGCCATTTGAAATGAATGTTATAAAGCCTGTGGTGGTATGACAATACACTGTTAATTATTCCCTTAAGACAAAAACAGAAGAGTGGAAACTGAATGATATTTAAGCACTTAAACGCAGCCTCTGCTTCTGTGTAGGGCTTCTTGTTATTGGCTTAATTCCAATAACTTGTGTATTTTCATTTATTTATTTATACATCAAGGTTTATCATCTGATGTAACAACAGGTGCTGTTTTAGTGTCAAAGTGAATTTTGACTCTTGGTGAACTGTGAATGCCAGTCAATTCTATTATGTATTTCTAAGACTGTCTATGTAAAAACCACGCTGTCAAAATTATTTTTAAATCACCAGCAGTACCTTTTAGTAGTTTATTAAAATCTATCCTCGACAGTAACTTGGAGTGTGTGACCAGCTTGGTGGTTGATAATTGTGGCTGGCTGAAATTTGTCATGAAATTAATCATTAGGACCTCCTCTGTGCCTAATGCAGATAATTCCTGAAAATGTGATAAGCTTGTTCTTTGTTATAAAGAGAAGTTTTTAAACATTACATCAGTGTTATTGTAAAATGCAAAATGCTAACAGTAACTGCCCAAAATTTGTAGTCTCAGAAGCTACACATTTTTGAGACTTGAAATTATTTCTCATAGATTTGTTTTCTTTATATGTCATGATCAAATTCATAATCTACAGATTGTGCAGAGTGCAAATATTTTTGTATTAACTGTTTCAAGTTGCAATGCAGTGTATGCTGAGGATGCACATTCTGTGTTATATATAGTTGGTGTAATAAATCTGCCTCGGGAGATCTTGCTGCTGCTGCTGCTACTGCTGCCCTCATTCTGATGTCATTTTTATTCTGTGATTTATGACTTGCACGCTCACATTCTCATCAAGTTTAAAAAAGGAAATTAAAATTGAGGGCATTAGAGGACCCCACTCCCATTAGGAAGGATTTACCTTTTTTTAAACAAAAAATGTTCATTTTCTCTTTTTTCCTTTCCTTATTCCTTTTCTCCCCCCTCCTTGTTGGATATGTTTCAGAGAACAGCTACTCAACTCGCTCAGGTGGATTTTTCTTTATGTCTTAAGTTTTTGGCAGGATATCAAACTGCAGGGAAGAGGTGGCATTGCAAATGGCCTGGTTCCTTTCTTCAACTGACATTTGCACACATGTAATCCCAGTAGGGGCTCTTGAACGGCAATTATGAGCAGGAATTCTAGCCCATTTTCTCCAGTCCAAAAAAGGACTTCGGATGCAATTGTTGCATTTCTACTCCCACTGATATCAGTTAATTTGGTGCAAATCAGATATTGAACATGGGACTTCAGTCTATACAGCTTAATTATTCACTGGATAAACTTAATTAACCATTAAACAAATCATGAATTACAGTTTACCCAAGTACAATAATTGTGTAGAATACAAAACAAAGGCCCAAGGAACTTTTTATTTTTATTCCTTGGATTGATATTGCCCATAATTCTTAATAAATGAAATTGTATCACAACAGACACTTTGGTTTAGAAGTAGATTAAATTTATAGTTAATGGTGCTTGATGCGTTCTTATTTGGCAGAAGGTTAGACCATAAGACATAGGAGCAGGAAAACACTTCAACCCATTGAGTCTGCTCTACCACTCACAGATTATGGCTGATCTGATGATCCTCAACTACATTTTCTTACCTTTTGCCCATAACCCTTGATTCCCTTACTTAACAAACCAGTTTCTATAGCCCTCTACCCTGTGAGAGAAGAAACTTCTCTTCATCTCCGTCTTAACTGGGTGACCCTTTACCCTGAGATTATGTCCTCTGGCCCTAGACTCTTGTTCAAGGGAGGAACAAGGTTCTTTAGAGTGAAAATGATCGACACTTTTTTTAAAAAAAAACAAGGTGAATATTTTTGACTTACTCATTCTGAAATGAGATCACATTGAATCACAATCACTAAATGACATTGGGAATGTGAGCTTTTTAATAAACAGAACATAGCAATACATTTTGAAACGCACATCTTGTCTTTAACTTGTTTTGAAAGCTTCTTAAAGTACTAAATATAATTTTTGATTTCAAAGCTTTCAAGATACAGTATTGACAGTACTTATCAATATTTACTGTCAGCTTGCTTTGTAGAACCATTCTCAGTGCTTTTAAAGCTTTGCTCCAGAATTCAAATGCATGATCTAGACAATAGTATTGGGGGAAGACTGCATAGTTTAATGTTTCACTTCATGAATAAGATGTTAAAGTTTCAATCCATTCAGATCTGTATAAATATACCCCATCTTATTTGCTTTTATATTGAAGAATTGTTTGTCCTGCAACTGAAGCCACAAAATAGATTAGCAGATTATTGATTCTATTGCTGTTTCTTACTGAGGGTAAATTGGCCTATGTGACACTGTACTACACTTCAAACATATTTAATTGGCTGTGATTTTGGTTTTTTTTTTGTTATCCTGAAGAGATAAAAGATGCAATCTCAATCATTTTTATACGTTCACTTGTTATAGAATCGGAACCTATTCTTGGCCTCACCAACATAAATATTCCTGGTATAGAACATAATTTTTATTAATAGTTTTCAGAAGGTCTTAAAACACAAAGGTAACTAAATCCCCAGGACCTGATCAGTCATAATGTTGAGTATAGGAGTTGGGATATCTTGTTGTGCTGTAAAGGACATTGGTGAGGCCACGTCAGAGATTGAAGGGTGACCTTTTATAGGGGTTTATAAAATTTATGTGGGGTAAGGATAGGGTGAATAGCCAAGGTCTGTTTCCTAGGGTGGGGGAGTCCACAAAAATAGAGGACATAGGTTTTAAGGTGAGAACAGAGAGACTTTGCATGAAAAAGTTACCAGTCTGATCCCTTTTAAGTCTTTAATAGGGTGGTGTGTGTATGGAACGAGGTGCCAGAGGAGGTGGTGGAGAGGGGTACAATTATATATCCAGATGCATTTTAAATGTTATATCAATAAGAAGGGTTTAAGGGACATGGGCCAAATTGGTAATGGGACTAGGTCAGATGGGTTGCCTGGTTGGCATGGACGAGGTGGCCCGAAGATCTGTTTCTGTGCGGTATGACTCTCTGACTGTTACTGAGTGTAAACATGAGTGAAAAATTCAAATTTCAGGTTAACCAAGCAATCTTGACTGATTTTATTACCATTGATTTTTAAGAAGAGCAAGGTGGAGTAGGACTACTTAGTATGCATTTTATCATCTTGCAGCATAAGCAAAACAGATTACAGAATGATGAAAACACTTATGTGTGAAATCTCTGACTACGGATTAGCATCATCTAGACTTAAGTGCTGTACATCAGCTCGTATACTAAATTATAGACTCATTTGCTTTCTCAGGTCATTGTAAAACTTTGTGATGTTGTGTTGAAGAAGAACAGAGGAGTTCTTGAAGTTGTAGCTAAAATAGTTTATCTGTTCATTAGTTCACTGCTTTTGTCAGATCTTACAATGTGCAAGTTGAATAAAATTCTGAAGTACTTCATTGGCCAAACGATTGACAGCCAACCTGAAGTTATGATACGCAATTAAAAATTGAAGTCTATCCTTCACTTACCTTGTTGCGCCACTAATATATTTTAATTAAGGCAACAAAACATGGTTTAGATCCCTGGATCTATGTCTGTTCTAAGTGGGAATATTCCTTACTACTAATCATCACTTGGTAGTGCAGAACTTGGGTATTGCTAAAATTCAAAGACATGAAGTCGAAGCTTTCCATTTAAATTCATCACGACTGAATCATGAAACTACCAAATACCAAAGGGAACAATTTATGCTGTATGAGAAAAGGTTGCCAACCAATCAACAGCCTCTTCATATGCTGTATAATTTATTGTTCCATTTGAGATTTAATATTCTTCTGATTCTGTTTTGAGTGCAAGATGGGAAGCTTCAACTTCATGTCTTTGCTTTTCAACAATTATTACTAACTCTATATTCTCACACTTCCCATGATGATTGAATTCAAAGATATTTTGCTGGAGAGAATTGAAATTTATTGTGTTCTTTTAAGTAAAAAGATAAATATAGTTTTATTAACCAAAAGTGACATTTGTCAGAAATTTATAAAACATGACATTCTTCAACTTGATTATTCAAACATTCTAGATATGATTCCACTTTGGGATTTTTATTTCCTAATCAACCTGATCAGAGATGTTATTACACATCTCTGGAACAGGTGGGACTTGAACCTAGGCCTCTTGGCTCAGAAGTAAGGACAACGCCACAACTCTGCATTTGTAGTCAATTTTAGCATAACCCATGTCCTGGGTAGTGTTCCTGGTTTTTCAGATTACTAACCCAGTTTATTACTGTTATGCTCAGAGACTAAACAAAAACTGCAGAGGCTGGAAGAACACAGCAAGTCACGCAGCATCTGGAGGAAAGGAGAAGTCTTTCCTTCAGATACTGCCTGGCTTGCTGTGTTCTTCAAGCCTCCCGTTTATTACTGCTACGCCATTGCCTCCACCACCAATTCAGCTTTTGGATCTTTACTGCCCTAATGAAGAAAACCTGCCAACAATTCTATTCGATTCATTTATCCTATTAAACACAACAGTGGACTGAAGATTAACCTTTCCAACTGTTGGAAATTCTCAGTTCAATATTAGCTAAGCTGTATTCTGATCAGTGTTTGTAGTGAATTCTATTAATTCATAATGATA